CCATTGAAGTCCATTATATGGAGAAAAATCCTGGAATGTTTTCCTCAAAAACCCTAATTTCTTTGCGACTGAAGAAAGAAAGACATGAACATCTTGGACGATATGGGGGTGAGTAAATTATCAGGACATTTTTATTCTGGAAGTGAACTAATCCTTTAATAATCACTACAATATTTATTTTAGAAATATAAAAATGCATTCAATATTTATATCATTTAATTATTTAATTTATAAATCAATATGACATTTAATTTAATTAAATCATTAAAACATACACACACATATTTAACACTAAATTTTTACATGTTTTATATTAAAAATCTAAAATATATATTTTAATTTAATTTAAAAAGTAATTAAATGTACTATTATTTATATTATATATAATAATTAAATAAATAATAATTACAATTAATTTAATAAATAAATTATAATTAATATTATATGATAACATTATGGTATACATATATTTATATATTATTTATTTCGTTTTTTGTGATTTTATATATACACACTGACGTGTGCATAATTATATGCAAAAAGAATATTTTTGACAACTGTGCACTGTGGATTCATACTGTATCATATTGTCTGCGTGCAAAGTACCTGCAATGATGACTGAGTCAGTTCTGGCGGGTCCAAACTTCAGCGTCATTTCATGTTTGTGTTTGTGGACAGCCAGGTGGTCCTCATTAGTAAACCTCTACAAAGCGACACAGATGAACAGATGGATTACGAGACAAATCTGACCAGAAAAAGAGAAAGGAGCATTTCAAGACCTCAGGGCAGAGACATATTTCCAAAGGAAGAAGAGGGAGTGGCATTGACAAGATTTGTCTTTCGAAACAGATAATGTAGGCCAGAGAGGACTTTATAATGATCGTTTTTCACCAAGCCCATGCTCTACTCAAAGTCTCTGAGGTATAGGATGTAACTATACAGTGTCAATGTCAAAGACGTACAGTAGAGGCGGCTTTCTGTTTCACAGCTGACCTTTGTGCCCTTATACAGCCTCAAGGCTTACAACACTTACGTTTATTTACGCTTCCGTTCAGAAGTGCAGCTACAGCATTACACAGTAAGTACTGAACTTCCACATTTGTCACATAATAAAAAAAAATGTTCCACCAGCTTTCATGACAATACAAAAACCAAAATACATTGTGCATATGACAAAAGCACTAATGCTAAGGTGGAGTTCTCTAGTTAAGCACTTTGACCCAGTGCTCGAGCCAAGATGTTATGCATGCAAGACACAACAGCTCATGGGCTGAGCAAACTACACAGATGTATTCAATTAACATTTATGCCAGGCAATCGTGCATTCTCCAACGTGCTTTTATATTTACCTTTGAAACAAAACAGCTGTTAAGGTGGTAAAACTGTACGCTGCAGATGCACAGGCAGTGAATATTATTGGATATTTATGGAAACCAGTATAAAAGATGCTTTTTTGAAATATGACGCATAAAATGCAGAGACTGCAATTTTCTTGGCCGATTCCGATTTCTGTTTTTTTTATAAGTGTGACCTGTCGTTACCGTTTTTTGCTGATTTGTATATGCTGTTTATAATTTACAGCATATACAAACAAAAATCTACTTTTTTTTCCAATGCAAAAAAATTTACAATTTACAAATTTTATAATAAAATACATTTTTAAACATTACAATTTCCCCCAATCTGGACTAAGTTAATATTGTGAATATTGTCAATATTGTGACTAAAATGCAAGTAAATTATTTTTAACTTCTTGTTTATTAAACTATTGTATAAAATCAGTGTCACATTGCAATCGTTTCGGGGAAACATCTTGGTCGTGTAATGTTGCTTACCTATATCATATTATAAATATCTTTTTTTTTCTACCGCAGTATGCATCTATAAATTTTTGTGAGTTGCTTTGTGTGTGCTGTTGCGCTCATTTGTCACTCTCTCTCATTCATCTGGCACGACATCAAAACATTATCAATCTCCGTTTACAGGCTTCTTGTCCAGTCGGGCAAGTAAATTCTCTCTCACTTGCCCCTTTAAAAAAAATCTACTTGTCCCAGACAAGCTGTGGTTCCCCCGTGGTTTACTTCGGCCCTACACGTATTACAAACTGCGAACTCTGTCTTCTTCACTCACAGTCAAGAACTTCCACGCCGACAACATGTTTACATGCAGATGTGAGCGTAGCTGTGATGTCAAAACGGACCGATCATGTGGAAAATCAGCTGATTGGTCCATTGCCAAATGATGAGATATACAACAATTCTTTTTTAATGACTTTTCATTCTTCTTAGAAGCAGCATTGTCCTATTGTCTGTTTTAATTACATGTTAAACGAATAATATTAATAATAAATTATGAACAACAGGAAAGTACAAGATTACACAGTAAGATGTTTTTGGTTGTTGTTGTTTTGTTTTTGATTCACTAAAAAAAGGATCATAAGAGTCATTCGTTCAGGAATGAGACTGCTTTGGATGTGATGTATGTGATGCATGTTTGATTCACTAAAAAGAACTGGCTTATAAGAGTCATTCATCAAATCAGACTACATTGATAGCACTGTACTGTATGCATTTAATTCACTAAAAAGAACCAGTTCAAAAGAGTCATTCATTCCGGAACTTATTTATTTGTTATTACGTTATTTGCTCAGGACTACACTGTTTACAGTGTATGTTTGTGATTCATTAAAAATAACTGACTCAAATCGGTTAATTGCCTGGGATTCGGACAACACTGGTTGCGATGCAGAGTTTGGATTCACTAAAAAGTTTGACTCAAAATAGTTATTTGCTCGGGAATCGGACTACACTGTTTATGCCATATGTTTCTGATTCACTAAAAAGAATGGAATCAAAAGAGTGATTTGTTTGGGAACTGGACACCACCTGTCATGCTGTTATGTTTTTGATTCACTAAAAAGAACCAACCCAAAATAGTTATTTGCTTTGGATTCAGACTACACTAGTTGTGATGCATGTTTTTGATTCACTAAAAAGAACCAATTCAAAAGAGTCATTTGTTCAGGAATTGGACTATACTGGTAAGCCCTGTATTTGTTTAATTCATTAAAAAGTACTGGCTCATAAGAGTCATTCGGAATCAGACTACACTGGTCAAACGTCATTCAGTTCACTTTGTTTTTTTCTTTTTGATGGAAAGGTTTGCGGAAAATAACACTTGTTTGAAGAAGCACCTCAACCACTGGATCCTTGCGGTCTTTTCCAAAACAGCTTGAGCGGACGTGGAGCCTCTAGGATTAGCTTTTCCTCTTTCTGTGTGGATTTCATGACTCAAGCCGTGTTCACTGGGCTTCACAGTCTTCTTCAGACTATTTCTGGCTCCGTGTCACGGTTACAGTTCAGCCGTGGAAACACAGTCAAGTGTCAGAGGCGTATTTTTAGATGTGCCAGCATCACAAATACAACAACTGCATGGCCCGTAGCTTCTTCCCCCTCGACTTAAATGACAACACAAGGACAACAGCATGGCTGAAGCAAACACAGGAACTAATTAACACCAACAGACAAGTAGTGCAGCTAGAGTGCCTTATGTATGGACTTTTTATACTTCCTCTTTTGCAGTAATAGCATAAGTTTGTATCTTCCTCTCAGAAAGAAGTATGTGACACTGAGAAATGCAAAAAATAGAGCTTTTCTAGTCATCAAGAATGAGAATGGATAATGTTATTCAGCAGCATAGTTTAGTATTAAACTGACCTTACTAAGATCAATATTATATGCATTTCTCAAGACCTTGTTTACATGTTTTTCATTTTATCTCATTAATACACGTCAACATAAATGGGAAACATAGGTAGCTGAAATAACATGTCAAGCAATGCATGAAGCAATGCACATTATTTGTCAAATACTAAAGTATAAATACTCTATAATATTGATCCTTACTAAGATCAATATTATATGCATTTCTCAAGACCTTGTTTAAATGTTTTTCATTTTATCTCATTAATACACGTCAACATAAATGGGAAACATAGGTAGCTGAAATAACATGTCAAGCAATGCATGAAGCAATGCACATTATTTGTCAAATACTAAAGTATAAATACTCTGACCAAGTTCTCCCTGCAGCACATGGTCATCTATGTATGCATAGATGTTCCTACATGTTGAGCTGAGGTGCTCATGCGGGCAGAAAAAAAAAAGTCACTTCTTTTCCTGATCTTCTTCCCATTATTTTCTGTTTTTTTTTCTATACCATATAGGGTTGGGTACCGAAACCCGGTGCCATACCTATGTAACCGGTATGTACTAGAACCGAATCAGAACGCAGATTTCGGTGCCACGTAAATGCTTGAGCGATCGATTGAAATATTTGTTCTCTGGTTCTCCGAAACAGACGTAAGGATCACCGGCACCGCACTAGGGTTGTGACGGTGAGGGAAATTTTCCCACCGGTTAATTGACGTGTGACAACACCGGTAATACCGGTATCACCGTGGGGGCGGGGGTGGGGGCGTTCCCTCTTTTCCTTTTTTTCCTTCGCTTTTAAATAGCTTGTAAACGCTGCGTGCGCATTTTACTTTCACTTTCAAATAGCGGCAATTCGGCGTAAAGCAATTGTTCGTTTTTAGTTCGTTTGAATTTCCCCTCTTTTCCTCGCTTTCCTTTGCTTTTAAATAGCTTAAAAGCGCCGTGCACATTTTACTTTCACTTTCGAATTAGCGGCAGTTCGGCGTCAATTGCTTGAATGCAACAACAAAATACAACATCAAACTCACTTTAGCCTATATATAAAACATAGAACTTTTATTAACAAAACAAATAAAAATACACCATGCTATAGGGCAGGCTATGCCTAATATAAAATCACAAATAACTTACATAACCTCACTCTTCTTGTCAGTCAGCTCGACTCACTCTCCTCAATGGATAAATTAAATCTGATCTGTGATGCGACTGTCGTTCAGCACGCTGCATTGAGCAGCCGCGTTCAGTTTTTAATTGTAGTGTCTGTTCTTTTACTGAACTAAATGATTTTTATTACTATAAAAAATCTAAACGACGGTGGGGGTCGGTGCCGTGGTGGGCAAGTGACATAACCGGTGTTGCAGCTTAACACCGGTATCACCGTCAGCACCGTCTATCGCGGCAAGCCTACACCGCACGTGAAAAATTATTTCCCGACTGAGAAAATTCACAAACCAAGTCGGAAAGCTCTAATAATACAAATCTTTGTAGTAACGCAAGTATCCATGTTGTTTTCACATTCCGACATAAAAGCACAACTCGGGAAATGAGAACATCCGAGGAGCGCGTGAATACAGCAATTACACTTGCTCTGATGACAGCAGGTAGATACCGTTAGCTAGCTAAGCTAAACATTCTTGAATTAAAATGCCAAAAGCTAAACTTCCCTTGTAATGACTTGCAATGAGAAGCGTTTCTAAACCGGTTGTCTAACAAAAGAGAACACTATAACGTTTTTACTCCACAACTGCTTCCTTTTGTGATCTGATGCGGCTTCTTGTCACAGAATGAGGCAGAAAATATATTCTATACTGTAAAAAGCATATGGTCGATTAGCAATGTATTATAAATATACTTAATTATGATGAAAATACCAAAGATGGCTTGAATAACACAGATAAACTATACATTGTCGCAGTTGAGTGTTTATTGTCTTTGTTTTATCATTCAAAACGTTTATATCTTCTGTTTACGCAGTTACAGTCATAGCAATGCCTTTGTCCATATTAGGGATTTCCTGAGTTCTATTCCTTCTGTGATGCACATGTGGAGTTTCTGTGCGAGGCGTCCAGTATGAATGAAACAGACATTAAATGTGTTTATAGCGCTCAATAATGGCCAATCCATCCTATTTTGGGTAAATTTTTTTTTTTTTTTTAAGTATCAGTTCAGGCACCACTTAGGCACCGGAACCGTTTTAAAAGTATCGATTTGGCACTGGTATCGTAAAAAAAAAAAAACGATACCCAACCCTAATACCATCCATATCTAGCAAAAATGTAAAAAAACGGCCTAAATATACAGAACAAAGAGTTTATTACAAACAGTCTTAGCTAATATTGCTCATTCCAATTGTTAATAGCTATTAGTGTACCTTAATTTACTGTAGATTTTAATGAAAAAGATTAATGAAAATCAAACCTACACTAACTACACTGCTATTCAAAAATGTGAGGTCAGTAAGATTTTTTTAAATGTTTTCGAAAGAGGTCTCTTATGCTGATCAAGGCAGCATTTATTTGATCAAAAATACAGTAAAACGAGTAATATTATAAAATATTATAATTTATACATCTGTTTATAATTTTAAAATATGTTAAAATGTAGTTTATTCATGTAATGGCAGAGCGGAATTTTCAGCAGCCATTACTCCAGTGTCACATGATCCTTTAGAAATCATTCTAACATACTGATTTGGTGCTCAAGAAACATTTCTTATTATTATTGATTTTAAAAACAGTTTAAAAACAGATAAAACAGTTGTGCTGCTAATATTTAAAAAAAATTAGTTCAAAAGTACAGCATTTATTTGAAATGGAAATCTTTTGTAATATTATAAATGTCTTTAAAGTGACTTCTTAAAAATGTAATGCTTTCGCACTGAATAAAGTTTTTTTTTTTTTTTTTACTTACTGAACCCAAATATTTGAATGGTAGTGTAAGTCCTGGACTTCCTGTTCTAAAAACAAAACTATAAACTGACTAGCAAGCACTAGCTAAAGTGTAGCCTTTAGTTAAACCCAATTTGAATTTTGTTGCACAATGTTTTTTATATGATAAAGAGGAAATTACATTAAAAAGGATTCATTTACTCTGAAAATAGCTTTAAACAAACACTAGCATTAATAATCTCAAATCTCAGTTTCCTTCGGCGTGTTCTTTTTCAACAATAGGTTGACAAAACAGAGGAGTCACGTGAAAATCTGGTTAACTGGGATGAAGCAAAACAATCTTAAACCCCTATGGACTTCAGTATGACGCAAACAGCACTTGCTCGTCAACAAAAGAACAATACCTCCACTAGAGTAAACCCTCACTCCCCTCGTGCAGCTGAACACCGCTGTTAATAGAGCCTGACAGATGTGCACAACCTGATCTCTATTTCAACCATTATCCTTTTTTCCCCTATAGTTTTGGTTTACAGGAGCTGAGTAGTCTTAAAACTGCCTTATTTTCACCTCACGACAAGATACGTCATTACCACTTATGAATTAAGATATTCAACTTAGAAACCAGGATGCTTCAGTGTACACTTCTGTTCAACAGTTTGGGGTCAGTAAGATATTTTAAAAGAAATTAATATATTTATTCAGCAAAGATGCATTAAATTGATCAAAAGTAACAGCAAAGATTGTTACAAAGACTTCTATGATCTTTTGAACTTCTATTAATCAAAGAATATGAAATGTTTCTTGAGCACCAAATCAGCATATTAGAATGATTTCTGAAGGATCATGTGACACTGAAGACTGGAGTGATGATGCTGAAAATTCAGCTTTGCCATTACAAGACTAAAAAACGAAAAAGAAGTATCACATCTCTACTCAAAAACCAGTACAAGTTGAAATATTATGTCCACTATAATATAAGCTCAAATCTTAAGTATTAGCAATAGTAATAGAGATGTCAAATATCAAAGGCACCTTTTTACGTAAGAAAAACAGATTTTTCCTGTTCAAAGTCTGGCTAGGTCAGAGCAAGACGTATTAAACAGTCATGGTCCCTGTGGCTTCTGAGAAAGAAACATCTGCAAACAACTAGCTAACATAAATTATTCATCAAGTTCATGTTGTTCCTCTTAATTCTCAAGATTATGCCGCCAATGGTACAGTTAAATGATCATTGTTGTGTTCGGTATTGGAAAGGCAATGTCTAACTGTTAAATTACCTCATTCTGATCCATGCTACTTTTTTCACGCCGTTTTCTACGTAACTGCGGAGGAGAACATTCAGATCAAAACCACAAAACGAACATCACTGTCTCACTGAGTAGGATGGGTCTCGATCACTTCCTCTTTCGGTTTTCAATGCCCTCAAAGCAGCACATGCCTCCAAAGGCCACATTATTTTTCAGATCTTACACTGGAAAATCTTTCCAGTGTAAAAATAAATGTTCTGGTATTATGATCCTTAAACCAAAATCAATTTACGTAAGAAGAAAAATTGCATAAGATATTAAGACTTGTTTTCAGAGAATATATTATTTATTACATTTTTATACATTTAATTATTTGAATATATTCTATATATATAGAATTCAATTAATTAAATTAAAATTTTATTTTTTACTATTTATATGTTATATATTATTATTTATACTTAGATATTTATTTATATATATATATATATATAACATTTTTGGGGGTGTTTGTCTGTTTTTCTAACAAAATTTTATTTACAAATTTAATCAAGGCATACATTCTCTGTAAATAGCTTTATTGCAATTTGGCTTGTTAGGTACTTTTTTTTTCGTCTGCAAGTTCATCATGCACTTATTAGCATCAATAACCTCCTCATAGTGTCTGCATGGACTTTGACTCAAACCAGACAAGTGTAGATGATAACTGAGCTGCGATTACTCATTGGCCAATTTTGTGAGTGAGTCAGACAATGCAAGAGACGTTAGCACAGTTTCACAAGCGCGCTATCAGCTTCATCAGTGTGGCCCTGGGCTGCAGTGTGACAAAAACAACACATTTTCAGAGCGGTGCAGCTGGCGCACCTCCCTCCACACACAAGCCGGGTAGACGTCTTGCTACCGTGCAGCCGAGAGGGCGATGTGCCAGCCGACACTCTTCAATAACCAGAGAATGCCCTATGAACCAGAAAAGCACACCCACACCTGAAACCCAAGACAAAGTGAAAGCGAACTTACCTGCCCACAGCCAGGAGCACTGCACACAAAAGGCTTGTCGTCCCCCATCTTTGCAAAGGCTTTGCAATATAACTGTGGAAGAGAAGATGAGAACATTACTGAAGGGTTTTTCTAGAGGTTCGAGCCAGAAAAAGTTCTACAGCCGTTCCCAGGGATGATTCAGCCTGGATCCTTGCTCATGCATGTTAGTGTAGAGACAGACTACAAGTTTCCCTGGTGATACTTCCTTCACACTGGGGGCATCTGGCAGACCAATGATACGCAGAGTTCGGGATTTGCTAAAAGCAAAGTCTTTTTAGCCCCTCCCCTACATTTCATTGTAGTCCTCTTGACACCATCTCCACAAAGCTCTTCTGCGGCGACGACTCTAGTGCCACTCTACACCTTTGTCTGCAGTCATTCTCTGAACTCCTCCACCCGATTCTCAGGTTCAAATATCAGCAAACCACACTCCCAGACGCTCATCACTTTTCACAGGAACTCAAGACATCTACACTGACATCAAGAGGTTGTGTTGGTACCGTTTTTCCAGACGCCGGGAACCGATTTACCTCGGAGATAAGATCGATTGATTGCTTTCATCCAATTCAAGAGGGTGCAATGAGTGTAAGTGTTGTAAATGAGGAACGGACAGTGCAATAATGGTAATTCTGGAGAGACATGTCTGGAATGAGCCGCTCTGATCCAGGGGAATGGCATGCATGTGAATTGGCTTGTCATAGACACTCCCTCTTTTCCTATTAACCAAACCACTGCAGTTATTCCAGACAAACTGCCAGCACCTTCCACACAAACACACACATGCTCGTCATTACTCCGAAATCAAACGAATGCTACACTAAATGAATGCTTCCCTGGACTCTGATGGATCCATGGTATCTTCAAAAAATGGCTGGGTGGCTAAAACTTATGGGTTTCCACAAATTCCGATCAATTACTTTTCCATGACTCTGTTGTTGATGATTACCAGGCCTTAAAGTCATCATGACATGAAAATCCTTTTTTTTTTTTTTTTCCATCACGTTTAATCAAAATGTCATAACTGGACCTTCTGGCAAAAACAACAGACTTCTCTCTGGTGATGTATGCAGGCCTTCTCCCAAAAAATATATTTTTTTCAATAACCCATTCTACTTATGTTTCATCACAACAATATTTTAAGAAGGATACACTCACAAAGAGCAATTTTTAGCCAGTTTGTCTGTTGTATTAATTTGAATTACTTTTCAATGTTTCCCATTAATACAGGAACCCTTTGCATCTAAATATATTTCAATCTTTTGACAACATTCAACATATGTATCTCAATATTTGCTTATTATTCACTTAAATATTTTTTTTACTTCAATTAGTAAAAATAAATAAACAAAAAATCTGGTTGATGATTAAGACATGTTTTTCACTAAATGAACACAGTGAAAGAATTTTATGTAATCATTTTAATTTAAATCCACCAACATAATATATAGCAATAAATAAAAATATTTACCTATACATAGCTGCATATTTATTAAAAATGCAACATGGTGGCTTTAAAAACCTTTTTAAGTGAAGCAAATGAATCACTGAATCAAAGTTTTGAATCAATTCACAGTTTGAGGTCATTTACATAAAGGTATCGTAAAACTAGTCAAATGTCAAGGTCCTTTGGACTTATTGGTCTAATAAAGGGCATTAAAGATCATAATGGTGCATAGTTTTATACTAACAGAAAAATCACAAATATACTGTAATAATCCATATATTGCCCAGCTCTAGTTTCAAATCTGTTCATGTATGACACATATGTTTAGTATCCATTATACATGTGTTTTATATTTAGTTGTGGTGGCTTTCAGCAAGTTTGACTGGGCTGACTGAATTTGTCTTCACAGCAGTTCAGTTTTCCACCAAAAATAATAAGCTTGAAACCAAAATTTAAAAACGCAAGTAAAAATATTTTGCTCAAAATGCAATTTTAAATCAAAAATTGAATAATGCAAAAAGTAATAAGTATGAATCAAAACTTTAAACACATTCAAAATCATATTGCACAAAACTGAAATATTAATGCAAAATTATCCGACTTGCACACAAAATCATGTTTCCCTTGGTTATATTTCTCTGTTTTTTGTGCTGTCAGAAAATTTCTGCTCATATTTAAATTTTTTATATGTTTATGCTGTTTTTCCCTTCGCTCTTGTTTCCATGTTCTGCGCTTGCTTTTCCAAATGTTGCGGTTAGAGTTTGATGTAAATCAGGGTGTGCTTAAGCGTCATCATTGGTTCACTAGTTCTAGATTGACAGCTCCTCCTCTAGCCAATCAGTCGAGGAGGGGAGCTGATGTCACTCCAATGCACCTCATTAGCTGCCGATGCTCAATGTTCACTTGTACAGGTGATAATGGAGAACCGTCAGCTGGGGTAACATCTTTCCATACAGGACACCGTTATATGTGTCTGCCGGTCACTGCAGTAAAGCCTACCTGGCGATCCGTTATCGTTAAATGAGTAAATTGGTAAATTAATTATGAATGAATGTGATGTTTTTGCATTGACTATGCTAGATTTGAATACTGATTCATGAAAACAATAGTGCAGACCTGCCAACCTTTGAATTTTTTTTTGAGTACCATCAGTGTGACGGGGGTGTGTGGGGGGGTGATATGGGGTGATACCGTGGGTCATATAGCCTATTCCTACATTACTTGAAGCTTCTTGATGGCTAATGTCAAAATCGTAATTGCACAATGTGCAAAATGCTAGACTTCATGTTAAATATTTTTCATAGGTTAGTACTCAGAGTCTGCAGTCAGTTTGTGATATTCCTGTTATACAGTATTTTAGAGTAAACAGTAGGAATGCAACAATACAGTTAGCCCAAGGTTCAATAAATACTGTAACTGAATGAAAGAAGACAGAAACACTTTTAATGAGCTTTCAATGCAAAGAGAACATTAAGACAATAAACACTCAACAGTGACAATGTTTATCTGTGTTCTTAAAACCACCTCAGGTATTTTCATAAGTATATTTATAGTCCATTGCTAATCACATAGCCTTTATTACAGTATGAGTATAGAATATATTTCTGCGACTCGCGGGAAGGCTAATTCTTATCATGGGGAGAATTTTTACCGGTATATCGCAAACGATAAGATATCGCCCATCCCTAACAGCGAGTAGGTGGCGGCAAGTTACTTAGTTCTTTAGAGTGAATCATTAAAACATTCATTCAATCTCCTGATTCATTCAGTGAGGAATAAAGTGAATCATTCACTCGACTGATTCGTTCAAATCCAAACCAGTTCATTCAATACGAAAGGCTGCTGTGTGTTGCTCGTAGAGGACACTGTTCTGCTGTGGCTTTGTTTGGACTCTTCGTCGAAATGAGAAAATAGTTACAATATTGTGTTTAAAACTCACACAAAATGTACTTCTTGTTATATTGATTTTATACTACAGTTCAATAAACATTTGCAATGGTGCTGATATTCGGGAAAACAACACTCTTCCTCGTGTGATATTACTTAACTGTGTCATTTTATAATCTCAGAGTAACACAAAATGTGATAAATCTTACAAAACCAACAACCTTATCAATGACACTCTACATGAAAGACAAAGCTGGAAATCTGTTTACAAAAACAATACATGACAAAAAATAAGATATAGACAATTAACAATTACAAGAGACAAGGGTAATATACAGTGAACCAAACAATTGTGACTGGCACATATTATTCCTATTATCCTCTCCTAACAGTAATAACAATAACAAGACTTATCAGTCAGGTACAGGCGAGCCAGACACATTTAACAGTGACTTCAGGAGGCCGGTGCATATAGTGGCTGCTGCCTTTTGCGATGTGACCATAAGCGAATAAATATAGGTGAATATAATGGTGAAGGGTCGCTAGGATGGCTCATTTAATGGTAACGGATCGCCAGTGACAGGCAGACACATATGTCCTGTATGGAAAGATGTTACCCCAGCTGACGGTTCTCCATTATCACCTGTACAAGTGAACATTGAGCATCGGCAGCTAATGAGGTGCATTGGAGTGACATCAGCTCCCCTCCTCGACTGATTGGCTAGAGGAGGAGCTGTCAATCTAGAACTAGTGAACCAATGATGACGCTTAAGCACACCCTGATTTACATCAAACTCTAACCGCAACATTTGGAAAAGCAAGCGCAGAACATGGAAACAAGAGCGAAGGGGAAAACAGCATAAGCATATAAAAAATACAAATATGAGCAGAAGTTATCTGAGAGCACAAAAAACTGATAAATATAACCAAGGGAAACATGATTTTGTGTGCAAGTCGGATAATTTTGCTTTAATATTTCAGTTTTGTGCAATATCATTTTGAATGTGTTTAAAGTTTTGATTCAAGGCATTATTAAATTTTTGATTTACGCTTATTATTTTTTGATCCGTGACCATTGTTTGCTATTCTGAAAACTTTGCTTCATTTTTAAATTTTGTGAAATATATTTTACTTGCGTTTTTAAATTTTGGTTTCATGCTTAGTTTTTGATCCATGACTGCAATATTTTTGGTGGAAAATTGATGCCATAGTTCACATCAATCTACACTCTAACTCTTTTAAACCCAACGCTCCACGCATGGAGAGGCTGGGAATTTTGGAAAAAGTTACGCGCTCATTAAATTTAAATGGAGGGAAGTTTCATTAAACTTTCAACATGCCCCACCAGCTCTGAATGACGTCTGGTAAGTTACACAACCACCAACACAAACAAAAGGTGAAGAAAAAAACAAACATCTTCCTTGACTATAACAGCAGGGATTTAAATGGATAAAGCTTGCACATGTCATCTGTAAAATTTTAAAAAGCCATTTAGAATGGCAGGTCAGCAGGCTGAGACGCTGCTAATTTATGTAACATTAGTGCTGTAAAGTTTACAGCAAACAAAAGCAACTGCTCTCAAAGTACCAATGGAGTAGAAATATAGGCTACAAAAATGTACATATTAAAAATATATATATATATTTGGTGGATTGTCTGAACAAATAGTCAACTAATCAATGTGTAATGAGGCTGGTTTCAGTTGCACTCATATGGACATGCTATTTTTAAGGGGCCTTCACAAAAAAATTACTTCATTACTTCCAATTACTGCATTAAAATACAGGTAGACAGAGCACAAAAGAACGAAACAGAATGCAATGGCCTCAAGACACGTTTTTTTTTTTTTAAAGGTTAAAGGACTACTCTTAACTTCATGCCACCTTAAAAAACAACACTTGTGGGAGGACGCTCAAAAAACACTGCAAGATGTGACACAATGGCTGAAGACAAATTTAAAAATGCCAACATCTCGAGAGTTTTAGTGTGCACGCTGTCAACATGCTAAATAAGGCACCACCAATTAAGATTAAAAATAAATAAATAAAAATTAATTAATTAATAAATAACAATTACATTATACAATTATACAATAAATATAAAAATAAAAAAAAATCTAATTATAAATAAAACTAACTAGGACAATTAAAAATTAAACCCTAAATAGGACAATTTAGAAACTGAATTTGATTAAACACTAATGTCTATATATCCTTATGTCAATTATTAAAAATAAATAAATAAAAATTAATTAATTAATAAATAACAATTGTATAATTATATACAATTATACAATAAATATAAAAATAAAAAAAAATCTAATTATAAATAAAACTAACTAGGACAATTAAAAATTAAACCCTAAATAGGACAATTTAGAAACTGAATTTGATTAAACACTAATGTCTATATATCCTTATGTCAATTGTGTTCAAGTGTCTTGGATGGAGGGACATGCAGTTTATAAGCTGAAATCAGCAACCACTGCCAAGACCCTTGCTCTGTTTTCCATAAAGAAAATAACTGCATTTTGTTTGCCCTGAAAGGCCCTTCCCATTACAGCCGAGATCAAAGTGGAGTACAAGCTAAGCAGCTTGATTCCTTGCAGACCTCACACGCTCTACAAGTGAGCCAACAGCTTGGTGCCAGAGCTTTCAGTCTGGTTGCAATACACACAGACAGTTTGGTCAGAGAAATGCACGGAGAGACTGTATACAAATGAGTACCACCCCATTCATTATACCCTTGGTGAAGTGTCCGCTTCTCAGTTGGCCTCAAACTAAGGGAGCGGACACATGGAGGAGTCTGAAGTTTACCATGGCACAATAAATCAGCCGAACAGAGAACAGGCCACCTGCGTCAATGTGTGCTACAACTGACCATCCAAAACAAAAATAGAGCCTTGATGGATTATTCACAAAGACATTCTGGAGTAATCTGAGACCACTTTGATTAAGATTATGTTTGCAATATAAAAGAATAGGAAGCATGTGTAATTGAAGTCTGTTTAAGCATGTTTGTACTTTAATTATTTCCAACGAATCCTCAAAAATGTTATCCAGTGATAAAAAAAATATCCAATGATATTGTCTTAACATCTCAAAGAGTCTCTGCATTATAACCAACTAAGTGAACCTAAAAAGATGAAAAACTAAATTGTGATGCACCAATTTTAGCGACCAAAAACTAAAAATAATTTTTGGTTTTGGCTGAAATAGTTTTGGAGGGCCAAAACCATTGACCAAACAGTGAGGTTTAATTAGCATTTTGCAATTACATGTTTTAATTGTGTCAACAATTATTTTGTGCACCCAACATGGATAAACTACAAACTAGCAGGGATGCACTTCACAGTAAGCAAAAAGGATGCTAAAGCAGCAATATGTAAAAACTGTTTAGCTGAAATATCGAGAAGCGACTCATTGCCGAAGAACATTACTACAACGGCACTGGGGGAAAAAATGGTGTAGAACTTACTTTGAAACAATTTTCAGTCAGAAATTGCTAGTAAATTTCACAAATAATTACAAAGAAATGGTAAGTTACATTTTGAAGTAGAAAGACTGAAAATAGTAATTTCTTGTAAAACATACTCCAATAATCTGTTTTATTAAAAACTTTTTTTTACAATGTTATCACCTGAGAACATGAAACCCTGAACAGCATACCAAGTATAATTAACCAAGTTTCCCAAAATCAATTACCCAAACTTAATTTTTGGTCTCCTACATGAGATCCACATATCTCTGCATGAGTGCCAGTTGCTAGGACACGGCTCTGACAACATCCACCATCTTTGATAGCACTACTGAAGATAAACTGAACAGCTGGGTTCGTCTATCATCAACAATTTAAACAGGAAGACAGCTGGAAGTACTAGCAGTGAACTGCTTGAGTTTTTAAAAATGCAATGGATTCAGAGTTCCCACACCTTCTGACCAATGGATTTCCATGACTTTTGCATTTACATTTATATTTGCATCGAATCAACAAGAGGACGCTTTTATCCAAAATTACTTACAAATGAGGAATCACAGTAGATGATACAGGAGCTAACATTATTAGCAGTTCCCGTGTAAACAATAACTTTTCCAATAACTCTATTTCTACATTTAAAAAAAAAAAAATCATAAAAATTAGATTTTTAAAAATTATTTAACAGACTGTATTTATATTTTAAAAAACTATTTATGAGCCACAACAATTTCATGGGATAACAAACTGATCAACAGCAGGTGCTTTATAATATATTTATATATTTATTTAAATATTTAAATTGCAAGCGAATTTAGTCATTTATAATTCTGACATTTTTGTGGGGTGACCTCTTAAAAAACATCTACCTTAATCTAATAGTAATTACTGCAAAGCACCTTTTTTCTAAACCTTTTAGAAAAAAAGTTTAGTTGAAAAAATGAAAAGTATTTGAAGTAAAATATGAAAAGTAATTTATCCTACTTCAAATCATGATTGTCTCTGTAAGCAACAAAAATAGAACTTTTATGGAAATTTGCATAGTATATATATTTATTAAAAAAAAACTATTTATAAGCTATGAAAAATTTTAGAGAATTATATTCACTATAAAAATTTCCAAGACATTTTAAAATGTCATTAATTTCCCTGACTTTTCAAATTCACATTTCCAGATTTTTTTTTTCATGACTGTGGGAACTCTGTGAACTGCATTTTTTTTTTTTTAATTCGCAGCCCGTTCCTCAGGATTAATTGGGCCTTAGTGGTCCGACACGGGGACAAACAGCATCCTGCGGTTAACTTGGATTTCTCCTACTCAGCAGGTGGACGGTGTAGCAAGGTCCAGCTATAATCTGCCTCAGGCGCGCACTGTTTGATGCTGTCTGCTAGGAAACTGACAAAACAAACTGTATTAATAGCTCCAGCTGGAGCCAAGAATGAGGAATCTGGAGAGTGAGCTGCCAGAGAGTAAGGGAGACCCCACAAAAAGGGAGCGACGGAAAGGGCGGGGGGCAGGGAGCAGAGAATGGAACGAATGCTTTTGGAGGGTGTTCGGTAACTTGCAGGTAAAGGCCAAGGGTCCTACGGATGGTGTTGGGGACGGGAGATCTATGGTGCATGGTGTGTTTTATGGTTGATTTGGATTTATGTAACCTTAGTGAACCTGAGCTTTGGAAAATGGAACAAATGAAACTTTAGATCCATGTCTGCATGACTGCAGTGTGCCCAGTGCTAAATCCATGGTGAGGAAATACACAGTGTAGCCCAATGCAGTTCCCTTGGCCTGTATTCTGCTAGGAACAATGTGGACCCGAAGTCCCCCTCTGTAAACCCATAATCCTCTTCAGATCAGTTTATACTGCGGCTGCAACAATGTTGGACATGCTACAAGTCAACAAAACAGCAACAGTGTGTCTTCTCTCCAGAAATATATCTAATGTCCACGTGACGATATATCTGCAATAATTTTGCTGGCAATATAATATTATGCAACATTGATTCAAAATTGTCTCATTTGCGTCATTACTCAAAAACCTTTGTTTAAGTCCTTTAAAAGTGCTGTAAAAACATATGTAGGTAAATATGCAGGTATAGTTAATTGGTATAGTTAATAGTTGCCTAATTAGTATAGTAATAGTGGTACAAACACTGCTGTTCAAAAGTTTGGGGTTTAGAAATTGAAAGGAAAAAACATGAAAGAAAGAAATTAATACTTTTATAAAGCAAGGACGCAATGAATTGGTCAAAAGCGACAGTAAAGACATTTATGATATGATTTTATCAAATATTTCTATTTCAAATACATGCTGTTCTTTTTAACTTTCTAGTCATCAAGGAATCTAAATGTACCACAAAAATATTAAGCAGCACAACAACAATTTTCAACATTGACAATAATAAATGTTTCTTAAGCACCAAATCAGCATATTAGACTAATTTCTCAAGGATCATGTGACACTGAAGACTGGAGTAATGATGCTGAAAATTCAGCTTTGCCATCACAGGAACAAATTACTGACCGTAATATCAAATATGTAATTTTACATAAGCAAATAAACGTACATACTGACACAAAATGAAAAACTCTATAGTATATAGTAATATGGCATATACATATACAAGATCATACATGACGCTAGGGGCAGATATCTGTCCCTAAGATTTTCTTCTCTCGCTTGTCAAGAGCTCTGAACGAGCCCGCAGTTTCGCGCAGACTTCGGCTGGTAACCCACTGCCAATCTGACAGCCTCACAGTCTCCTCATAAAAGTTACTCTTGATCACAGACAAACCTTGTTAACGGATATAAAAACAATTGGACATTGTTTCAAATCAAGACAATCATCGATTCCACATTTTTGACAAAAGAAGAATGTTTACAAACTTACCACAGCGCCCCTCTATCCCACTCTCTCTCTCTCTCTCTTTCTCTCTCTCGCTCTCTCTCTCTCTCCTCTCTTGGAATCTGACACGCCCCTCCCCGTGAAGTATCGCGAGATTTTGGCGTCACACACTATCCTGGTCCCTCAACGCTCACCTGGGGTGGTTGTTCAAAATTCACACTGTTGATGCTTGTTTTTTCTGATTAATAAACTCTAGCTTATTTATTTTATGACTGTAATAATGTTATAACATTTTGGCACGAACTTTGAATGTTGCTATGAATTGCTAGTTGATATAATGTAAATGATGTTCTTACCACAGTTCTTACTCTAAAATAGATTATTTTAAATTGTGAAAATAAATAAGGACGAATGTCAAGAATTTGTTATCATCTGTATTTCGTTAGCTAAATTTCATTTGTAATTAAATTTTCAATATTAATCCCAGACTTTTTTCTTAAAGACTTTAGAAGCTTCAGAGTGTCTTCCAGGTTTAAAATCTTTGTAAGGTATTACACTGACTTGTTTTAGAACAGTGGTTCTCAACCAGGGGGGGGGGGGTCGAGATTATTAATATATTTTAAAAATCTAATTGTAATGTAAATTAAAATATAAAAGTGGATTGCATTTTTTAATAAATAAATATGTAAACTGAAAATCATATTTCTTTTGCCAACGTTTTTAATCATTCATACCCTTAGATTATGTCATGAACAATATTTTGTTCTCATCCCAGCCTTACTAACTCTCTTTACAAGTGGTCGGTGATTCAGTCTGCTATTGAGCTTAAAATACTCTGTGCATTAACTATGTAAAGCAATGATTAAAGATTAAAATCGTGATGTGAACTGAAGGTGATGGTTTTGAAAGCAGAGGAAAGTTAGTTGCAGAGGGCCTTTATTCAGTCCTGCTGTAGTTTCCTTCCTGACTCATTTACATTCTCTTAAAGAGGACATCCTGTGCTTAGGAGTTTAAATAAAGCATGATGCAAAACACAAATTCACTTGCTGAAGTTAGGAAGTGAAATGTATGCAATTAAAATATGCTTCTTTCTCGTTATTAAATTTCCTATTCAGAAAACAAAAAACATGGCTTCACGGAGAGCGTTTTTAAAGTTTTAAAAACGTACAGAAAATGTTCATAATCAAATGTACTCTTTTGCTAGTTAATATTAAATAGTCTTAGTAAGCAATGGCTGCATGACGTCTGTTTATTTAGCTACTATAAGTAAATATAGGTTATTAAAACGGAGTTGATTTTTTTCCTGAAGGTCTGATATGTCTGTTTCTTTCAAGAAAAAATATTATTATTATTTTACAAACAAGGTAAATTGCAAAATTCTGTAGCTTTAGCTGACTGTTTTATATCATGTGGTATTCCAGCACCCTCTACTGGTTAAAATTACACACACATAACTCGTCTAAGGTTTCATGTCATTGAGAAGGCAAATGATGTGTTCATAATCACGTTCGTGATTCACTTGGTTTGGAGAAAAAAAACTGCAGTAAAACACTTGAACAATGCATGGAGGCTTTTACTGGTTAGTCTGCATGCATAAAACTAGATGTAAGCACTACATACTTCTTAATCAAGCAATATAACAACAGTGAAATGAAAACAACTGCAAAAAATCTGTTGAGGTTCACAAGATGTGACACTAGTGTTGACATGAATTCATTTAAGACATCCCATTCACGGTCTGCAAGCGTTTGGAATGATCATGCCAACATGACACTGTGAAGTAAAAAAATGAACATTCCCATTACTGACACAGAATATTCTTGTTAAGGTTTGCTGTGTTTTCATCTCAAACGCAAAAGTACAGCTCACTTTCTGCCATCATCAGCACCAAAAAAGTAATACAATCCAACACACTAAACCAGGTAGTTTTCAAGAGAAAGATTCATAATTACCAAAGTGATAGATGGACAGAAATAGATATTGATTTGAAATCCAATGAAGTGTTCTAACATTATTCTGCTTCAAAATGCCAGAGATTAGTAAACTAATATAAAACAAGGTTACTTTGTGGCAAATTTACTATATTTTTCCAAAATTTCACCCACTTTTCCAGGATTATTTTTGATGACCGGGAAGCCTCATAAAATGATTTAACAAAAATGTTAATATTTATTTGACTTTAAAATTTAATCTAAAGGTTTTAGTTACTATCTTAAAAAATAACGCATAAATAAAAACTTTATCTTCAAGTATAAGTTTGAAACAAATTTAATATATAATTATAACTTATAAGTGCTGTTAAAGTGTTATTTGTGTGTACATAGGATTTACTGGTAAATAATATTTTTAAATAATTTTCTTGTTTTTGCAATTAGAGTGTTTCACATATTATCTACTGATATTTTAACATTATGGGTTCATAAGTGCATTATCTCTCTCCTACCTGAGAGAGATATTTCTCTGCACCAAAGCACATAATTGTACTGCAACCAAAATCTGAATTTGCTTGGTGACATTATAGCAACAAAAGAAACATGAACCTTCCTCACTTATTCGCCCACTATATATGGACAGACACACTTCAGATTGCAGTCTGATTACAATCACATGTTCACGTACACGGAAGACATCTACCTCCTCCACGTCTGACATTAAGGACAGTGTTCTCGCTCAGTCTCTGAGGAGCACATATTCTTTCACTGACTCTGGAAGCGGGAGCTGTTTCACCGCAGATGGGAGGTACTGAACTCCCAGGCTGTTACGAACGGTGCAGCGCGCCAACGCTCGTAACGAGGGCGGTTGGGCTACGAGGCTAGTGAGTCGAGCCAGTAACTGAGGATCTTTACTGAGCTCACGTGGTAAAGAGCCGTCGGCCCTGCGGATCTCGATCTTCCCCGCGGCGCGGCAAAGCAGCTCCAGGCACTCTTCCTCCTGCTCCGTGCCCAGGCCCCGAGCCAGCAGCGCCACCAGCCGCGAGATGGGCGTCTGGCCCTTTAGGTTGGTGACGTGTACTTGAGCGCCATACTCTAGCAGCACACGGACACTCTCCAGGTTGCCTTTCATGGCTGCCCAACTGAGGGGTGTGTCGTTATTGTAATCCCGGACATTCGGGCATGCGCCGCTCTCTAACAGGGCCCGTACGCACTCGGGGTTATCTTTGAAGGCAGCCCAGTGCAGTGGCGTATCCTTGTTGCCATCCAGAGCATTTGGCTGAGCCCCGTATTCTAGAAGCAGCTCCACACAACCCTCATCCTTCTCCGCTGCGTAATGCAAGGCAGTGCGGTTGTAGCCATCCAAGGCGTTTACCTGGGTGAGAAAATTATTATTATTTTTTAAATTCTGAATTAAAATTGTGTCAAAAATTAAGTAAAAAATGTAGGGGTGATGCATCTTTCCTGATATGATAATGAAGTAAACAGACACATGAAAAAAAAATGTTTTTTGTGAAAACCATGATAAATTTTTTTCAGGATACTTTGAGGAATAGAAAGTTCACATCAACAGCATTTATTTGAAATATAAATCTTTTGATTATTATTAATGTCTTTACTATCACTTTTGATCAATTAAATGCATCCTTGCTGAACAAGTTTTAATTTCTTTTTTTTTTTTTTTTAAATCATACTGTCCCCAAAATTTTTTGAACGGTAGTGTACATATATTTGAACAAAACTTTCTCATTGCTCATTAATATTAAAAACTTTAGTCTGCCAAATCAAAGTCATGTGCAGCAACCAACAAGCAAAAATATACAGGAAAAAAAAACAAAAAACAAGAAATTATGTCATAGAGAGGACCCCTGCAGATCCGCATGACTGAGTATTAAAGACAATAATATATTTTGACCTTTTTAATAACAAGTCAAGGTTAGTTTAGGGTTTCAAAATATCATGTAGTGCAACCCCTCGAAAAATTTATGATATTTATAAAATACTAATTTGGGATATTTGTAAATAAATACTTTTATCTTGAAAAAAAATATTTAATAACTTTTTGAAAAATAAAGATTAAGATGTGTATTATTCAAAACGTAAGAAAAAAAAAAACTTAACATGTTTTAAACTAGATTTGAAAAGACCTTTAATCACTTACTTGCCTCAGAGCCATTAACAACTTAACAGTAAAATGTGTCATTTCTCCACCACTAGTGGCAACAAAATTGCACACTTTACTTTTAAACTGTCAAACACTGAATTTAGGGAATTGACTTTAGTTTGCAAACTCAAAAAGAATGATTCTTGTTACACTGTACCTCAGCACCTTTCTCCAGCAAAAGCTCCACACAATCAGCATCAGCCACCATACAGGCACAGTGCAGGGGCTTCAGCGTGCCATGCATCCGGTTCACATCTGCTCCCTGAGAAAGAAGCACATTTTCATTCAGAACGCAATATATGAAAGACTTTTTAAAGCGTTGGTAACACGACTCACCCTGCGTATAAGGTCTTCCACATTATCATGTGGGAAGGAGCGAATGGCAGCTATGGTTCGAATGAGCCTTTCCGACAATGAGTATTTGCTCTGAGCAAATAAATAATTAATAAACAAATATTCAATAAATTATAAATGTTTAATTTCTCATCAAAATTAGTACTTTTTTTACATCAATTTGCATATAATATTAAAATAAAGTACATACTGTTTTGCAATAGTTTTAGCTGTTTTTATTGATTGTTTTGTTTATAGACTACTGTATTTATTTAATCTTTCACTTCTTCATTTCCCCCCCCAAATTTTTTTTTCACACATTAATTTTTATATATTTTGTCCATATGGTAATGAGGGTAAATAATGTATCTCTTCGAAACATCTGTTCATTCATTAATATTTAATTTTGGCAAATTTCGCTACTCCATCTAGGTCTAGGACATGTTTATATACTAAGTAGAGCTCATGTGGAACTAAAGGACATTTCACCCAGACCGGGTGACGCCACACCAAAATGAGATGGCTGTGAAAGTGAGAAAAATAATCCAAGAAAAAAGAAAACAGAAAACTGATTAACAAGAGAATGAAGTTGATAGAACAAGTAATATCTTTACATTAGGAATCATACAATCAATCAATCTCTTTAAAGACAAT